CCATAGTTAAATAATTTTACTCTCTGTCTGTTTCCTATAAATGTGTTCGTAAGTTCAGTCATAGTTAGTGACAGCCATATTACAGTAAAATTTTTGCAACTAGTAGAAATTAAAAAGAAAGAAAAAACTTAATTAAGCCACCAGCATTAAGCAATCAAACACCGTTACAAAAATCTCAAATTTTTTAGGGCAGGAAGCTACACAAATTGGCTTTAAATCATCAAAAGGGCTTATTATATTATTGGCGATCGAAAACAGATCAAAACATTTTTCTCTATTCCATTTACAGTACTCTACAAAATTAGTGGCCCGTAGCTGAAGAATCATGATAACTAGTGACTTCTAATTATGTGTGATTATATTTCATTGAATATTTATCATTCAGCAAGCAAAGGCGTAAGAATTGATTGCATGATTGGTGAGATATATACGTTTTATTTCTTTTCTGTAAAATGGTAATTACTACTAGTTCAAGAGAGATGAAAACTTTCTTTTTTCACACAAATGTGGCTATGACTGTTCTCTATCTCGATATGAATATGAGATTATATGAGGAATATGGTGGTATTATGAGGAATATGAGGTTTTTTCCGAAAACAGGCCCCAACTCAACTCAAAGAACATTTTTTTAACTCGAAAATTCCATCAAATACTCTGTAATGTCTATAGACTATCCAGCCAAACTATGAAGGTTAACTATTATAAAAAAAGCTATTAATTGGAACAGAGATGTCCTATTCCATTTGTCGTATACACCTATTCACCCACGAATAGTGCCCGTAATATACGAGGAATGGAGACAGATGTTTGACGACACCCCATTAACTCTGGAATTAATGGTAGGTTATCGGTTGACACCGAACTTAGCAAGAACCCTAATTCAGAAGAAACCCTCACCTTGAATACTGCAAGGAGCAGAGAGGTCAAATTCTTGAGGCCAAGAATGTTCTCGACGACATGTCAAATATGTTTTTAGCGATAAGAAGAGCGGTATATAATGCCAAGGCTGGCCAACACCAAATCACAACTTTAATAGTAAAAACATTTTCTCCTTCTACTCATTTATTCATACATTATTGATTATTGAATAAAAATTGAACATGTTTTTTGGAGGTAATAAACATGATTCTCACGCACAGACGGTGTAGCATGTCGATGATAAACACAAAGAGACGTTACATGTGGTTATCAATAATTAAGTAGGCAGACGCCTAGATGAGCATCGAAAACAACTCGAAGATCTTGCCCATCGGGTACACCCGACATGGCGAGATATTACATTAATCATGTGTATTCTGGTAGTCGCCCTCATATTGGCATATGTTATTGTAAAATTTGCTTTGACAAGTAAATTCAAAACATTGACCTTATTACGAAAGATGATGTCGGCACATCAACAAACTCCGCAGATTCTACCGGTATACACTGTACCAATAGAACAATACGAGCAGTTCAGACGAATGGAACCGGTGCGACAACCGGAACCGGCAAGAAAGCAAGGGCACCCAAGACAGGCTGCACCTTAAAATCATGAGTATGAACAATTGACTCCGGGACCGGAATATAAGGACATTTTTAGGCAACAAAAATTACTTAGGCAAGTAAGAAAACAAATAACAGATGCATATCAATAGAACGAAAACAAGTGTACATTCTATCATGTCCAGAACGATCATTCACCAGAACATCGAAAGACATTCCATTCAATTATATCATTTTTTATCTAGTTTATATCGACGTATAAAAATATTTTTTTGTATATATAAAAGAAGAGACCTTCCTTGTAATTTCATACAGTTTTTTGTTAACCTCTGAAGAAGAATTCGAAACCGGTCAGGTTAATAAAATAAAAAAACCAACCACTCGCTGTTATTGTCTCACAACCGTGCAACGGCTACAAAAAATACATAGTGTGTATAGTGCGTATTGTTATCCGTACGATATTGAAGGAAAGAAACGAAAGATGTGACTCATACTATAACATTATCTCATATCCTGTTTTTTTTTCGATATGATTTTTCTTCGCCAGAATCGTCCTTCATCATCATCATGAAGTCCAGTTCCCATTTCTATTTTTTTTTTATCAATTTTCTCCTATCTGCACAGTTTTGATATCTATTCGTGCATTGTATCTGTTTCCTCTGTTCTTTTTCTGTATGTTGGAGAGAGAGATACACCATCAGAGGGGAAAAATGTCTTTTGTGCACGGTTTTTTCCGGAATTATGCACGGTTTCCTATTTTCCGTGCACTAAAAAATCTTTTGACTTTTTTGTACACGGTTACAGAAAGGTGCACGGAGACATTTTTGTGCACGGTTTTTCAAGGAGTAAAAGATATTTTTGCGTTCTACATGCCGATGACCTAAACAAATAGGATGATCTACGAACAGACGTCTCGTTTAATACAAATGAGACTTATTGACTGAAATGTATGATAAACCTTAAACATTGGTGTAGAGTGAAGTTCATCTCTTTAAGAATTAATTCAACCCACACGGTTCTCAATACACTCTAAATATTATTTTTATAAACAAAAATCATGTTAAGAAAAGGTTGGAGTTTTGTTAATAAATATTTACAAAAGGATGATTTGGATGTTTATTTAAATCATAACAAAGTATCAAAATTTCGAAAGAAAAATGTGAAAGATGGTATTAAAATTACATATCGTTGTTCGTCATGTAAAAAATATTCAGAATGTAGTTTCCAAGTTCGTGTATTATTTAATTCTCAAAATGAAATAATTGTGTCGACAAGTGATACACATAATCATAAAAAAAGAGCTGATACAACTCGTGCTCCAAGTCCTGTTAAAAAACCGTGCACAGAAACATCTCCGTGCACATTTCTGTCTTTTTGCCGTGCACCTTTCTGTAACCGTGCATAAAAATGTCAGAAGATTTTTTAGTGCACGGAAAACAGCAAACCGTGCATAATTCTGGAAAAAACCGTGCACAGAAAAATCCTCGTCCCCATCAGAGAGTATGTAGATCATCTTATATATAGCTGTTACTTATCGAAACTAAACGAGAGTGTGGAATGTAGATTTCCGAACCTTGAAATCTGACGAATCTCTATTGAAGCACTCAATTAGTTTCTCTAATTCAGTGAAAAGTTTTGCGACTATATCAGTTGGTATGTAAATGATTGATACACAATTTTTGCCTTATCTTTATTCTAGAACTTCAAATAAGTCTAACAAGAGAATGACGGATAGTGACTCTTCAAGCGATTCGGATGATACTTCTCGTCGTATCTTTTTCACACAAGGCTATCAATCGAAAAGTTCCATCAGGCGTACACCTCGCGCGAGTGTCACAGAATTAAATAAACGTGCAGCCGGAATACTTGATAACATATCTAAAGTCAATAATCAACATGCAGAACAAGAAAAGCAGTATGACTGTGTTGCTGTTGGCTATACAACAGATCATGAACTAATTATCAGTGGAAATGTGAAACAACGTTTTGTGGATCCAGCAATAGGTCGAAAGCGAGATGGAACCAGATACGGTGAAATGGGTTTCAGTGGCAGACTCATTGATCCGATTATTCAAGGACTCGCCGGGCTGAACAAAGACGGTGATTTTAAAGTTCACATTATACAACAGCAACAGAATCCAAATGAAGTACCGACACCTGCTATGAATGCACGAGATCATGCTGAGATGCAAATCTTAGCGTATGCACAACGGCATGGCATGAAAATCGATAAAATCGGTGTAAGCAAACCTACATGTGCAAAATGCACAGAACAATTGGAAAGTCATGATGTAGCATTCAAGAATGATAGAGATGGAAATGACCATCCAAAAAATTGGGCTGAACCGAACAAAGTTACAGTTCGACCATTGCAAACTATAGAACGACAGCCAGTGCGAGTCAAATTTGATACTTATCATCATAATATTCCTGAGACAAGACGTGAAGCACGTAAGACTATTAGGAATAGTGTCAGACAAAAAATCGATCGAAACCAACATGCACTATAACAGCTGCATCTGTTCTGGATATCATTGAAGACATCGACAAAGAGCCTTGCGCGCAAGCCGGTACATTCAAAACATATGCGGGCAAATACAAAAAACCGAGAACGAGAAGAGTTGGATATTGCGCTGGTGCCAGCGTTGCAGAAGCAAGTGCCACAGCTGGAATATTCGGAGCTAGTGCTTCAGTGTTGTCATCATCGGCTCATGTGGAAGGAGGTACGAATTATTCGGCTGGTATCAATGCATCTGTTGCAAGAGCAGAAGCTCACGCTGGTCCTGTACAAGTTGGCGTTGGTTTGAATTTCAACACAGGTGTAAGCGTCGGCGTGGATGGTGTGCATGCATCTTTTCTCGGAATGGGATTTGATATTGGTCCCAAACTATCAATTCAAACGCCAATTGCTGATGTGAGTTGTACCATCTCATGATAGATATTTTCACAATTGCTTTAAGAATTTATTTAAATTTTTTATTAGTACGTTACGATACTCGTCTGTTTCATCGAACTATACTCTTCAAACGCATGTCAGAATTTTTTTTTCTTATATAAACTTTATTAAAAATAATAATACAAGTAAGAACATAATCGAGCTATTGCTCATTATAACATTCTTACTTGGCGACAAAGTGTTAAATGATGAACTAAGTTCTTCAAGAATGAAAACAGAAATAATCAACAAGTGAATGAACAGACGTAAAAGAGACAACAAAAGAAAAAGAGAAATGAAGAAAGGAAAGAGTAAATTATAATTAAAGAGAGGGTAGCGGAACGGTGACGCAAATCTGAGGGAATTCGATTGTATAAAAATAAGAATAAATGATTTTTTTGGCAAGTGATGAATCATTTACAGCGATTTGTTTCTTTGACGTATTTTGTAACAGCACTAGCAACCAACTTCACCGAGTTCAAATCCTTGTGAATTCTCAAGAGCACAAGATCCAGACTAAAAGATCCAACAGACAGTAATGATTCGCACAATTCCCTTCTTTGGGTTTTATATATATCGCAAGTAAGAAAGTAATGAGAAAGACTTTCAGTTTGGCTTTTCAAAGTTGAGGTATTAAATTTGGTTTTGAACATTGTCGTAGGAGTAGACGCTGAGATTTCCGTAGATAGATTGTTCCATTCAAGTGGCACACATGCAAAAAATGTTTGTCTAATTGCTGTTCCTTTCGAATGATCAACAACATAGAGTCGACGATTGTTAGATCGTGTGTTATATCTGGTATTCAGCGGAGCAAGCTTAACATGTTCAGTTAAGTATACAGGCGCACGTCCTGCGATTATGCGTCGCAAAAAGCGTTAGTCTCATTTTTAGAAAATGATCGGTGAGAGGAATCCAATGAAGATCATGTAGAATTTTATATTGAGAAGAAGTGCGCATAGGTCCGGAAACTGCGAAGGAGGCTTGATACTGAACTTTCCTTAGTTTGTCAATATTATAGTCAGGTATCAAAGAATAGACCCTACAACCATAGTTCAAAGGTGACATGCCATATGCTTGATATAAAGTATTCAGAGCTTTCCTGTTCAACCACCACTTATGTCCATCTGGCCAAGTCTCTACTCCTCGCCCACGTCCCTTGCCATCCTTGATTTCACCTTCATATCTTCCTCCATCTGAGGAAACCAGATGGATCGATTTTTTTCCTCGTAGACTTCTGTGATTACATTTTTACATGATTCTGATGCACCTTAACCACAGAAGCTATGATGGAACGGAGTGGCGACGGGGGGGGTCACCACCCTCACCCTACAAAATGAGACCTTCCGCAAGAAACATTTATTTTGTGTTTTGAAGTGTGTAGCAAATATTTCTTTTGTTTTTCAAGTTTATTGTTTTACATCTTGACTATTTTATGAAGCAAATTCTTGGCATACAAGCAATAATTTGCTCTCCAAGAAGAAGTGATTCGAAAAAACATCTAATAAAAAATTTCGTATCAAAGGAGAAGGGGCAAAAAATAATATGCACATGTACCACTCTGACCGTAGCTTTTGCAATTGTCGCGGGTTGAAACCGGTTGAACCGGTAATAGTAACCGATAAGAACGGGTTGGACCGTTACCGTTGCATCTCTACTTTTAATTGACGGCCGCTCTCAAAAGAGCTTTTCCAGAAAAGTTTGATAGAACTCTAGGAGAATCCATTTTTAGTAGCATCTAATATTATTTTGTACTTTTAAAATTAAGTTTATAATTTTATTTTCTGGTGTATCTGATCTTGTAAAATGAGAAATTCTGCATCTTCTGATATAAAATGCATGGCTTTAAATTTTGAGTTTGAGAGCAAAAAATACCGATAATATAGATTTTCCACGTAGATCAGTAAATTTAGAGCTTTTTTTCGCGGAAAGAGAATAATCATTTAACACACATGGTGTCAGATTATACAGTGTAAAATTCTGCATCTTTTGACGTTAAAATAATTATCTGGAAGTTAAACTGAGGAATAAGCAATGCTTCGCAAAAGAAGTTAGGTTTATTTTGTGCTGTTTTAGAAAATTAGAATATTTTGATATCTTGAATATTCTGCTGAAATTTTGAAAATAATTTCAAAACAGAATCGATAGTTGTCTAGAGAATTGAGTTTAGCTAAATATTAAATTCTTTAACGTTAGTCAATATGATAAAAATTTAATAGAAAAGATACTTCAAGGCTTCACTCTTTATATTTCGTAATTAATACACATTAAAGGCGGTTTCGATTTCTACAAAAAGCGTGTGTCTAATAAAAGCAAAAGATGAACTTGTTCCTCGTAAAGAAAAAAATCCTTTATATTTGTCTCTTCTATCGATCTTCACCAAAAAGTGAAAGCAATATTTTTACTTCTAATCCCACTACTTTATAATTATTATTTTCTTTTTTCTATTTTATTAACAAATAGTTATGATATTTTATTAATCGATTGGCATAGTGCAATAGAAATTGGTTTAAATGCAAAATATAGTGGCACATTATCAACAGCGTCGAATTTTGTTCTTAATAAATTAGCAAAGGATACAAATACAGCTATTCAATGTTTTCCAACTGATGACTATATTTCATTGATGAAAATGATTCTATTAGAAATAATTTCAAAAGAATTCAACGAAGCAGTTTTATCAAAGGTAAAACAAGCATCGTATACTGGTATTATTGGTGTTTATGAACAAATAGAAATGAGTTATAGAAATAGACAACCTATAATATTTAAAGTAATCCAATTTTTGGAAGAATATCGGAATTCTTTAAATGGTGAAAAATTAAATAATTATATTGATGAATGTATAAAGAAACGTCAATGTCTGTTTGAATTACAAAATCAGCAATCAGATATTGATTATTTTTATCAATTAGAAAAAAATTTATTTTCATCTTGATTATCTGGGAAAAATGTTTTTTGTGCACAGTTTTTTCCGGAATTGTACACGGTTTGCTATTTTCCGTGCATTAAAAAATCTTTTGACATTTTTGTGCACGGTTACAGAAAGGTGCACGGCAAAAAGACAGAAATGTGCACGGAGACGTTTTTGTGCACGGTTTTTCAAGGAGTAAAGATATTTTGTCGTTTTTTCATCCTAAACAAATAGGATGATCTACGAACAGACGTCTCGTTTAATACGAACGAGACTTATTGACTGAAATGTTCGATAAATCTTAAAAATTGGTGTAGAGTAAATTTAAGAATTATTGTGTGTTCATGTAAACAAAACCTTAAACTATATGTTTGTAAACATGCAGTAGGATTTATGATTCACCTTAATCTTTATGTTATAGCTGATCCAGCTAAATTACAAGTGTTAGGAAAACGGCGTGGACGTCCAAAAAAGGCAGGAAAAGCATTAAGTCGATCATAAATTTGGTGAGAATACTAAAAGAGGATTTTTATTTGTAAATAGCTACATGCTATATTTTTTTTGGATAAACAAAATTTAATAATCAAACAACAGGGTATAGCTCGTTCTTCAAAAAGCGTGCACAGAAACGTCTCAGTGCCACATTTCTGCCTTTTTCCGTGCATCTTTCTGTAACCGTGCACAAAAATGTCAAAAGATTTTTTAGTGCACAGAAAACAGCAAACCGTGCATAATTCTGGAAAAAACCATGCACAGAAAAATTCTCGTCCTGATTATCTGGTACGTATTCTACACAAATCAACAAAATTAGTGGCATCCCGTTGCTGAAGAATCATAATAACTAGTGAGTGACTTTTAATTTTGTGTAATTATGTTTCATTGAATATTTATCATTCAGCAAACCTAGGTCTAGGAATTGATTGGTGAGATATATACGTTTTATTTCTTTTCTGTAAAATGGTAATTACTACTAGTCCAAGAGAGATGAAAACTTTCTCTTTTTACCCAAATGTGGCTATGACTCTTCTCTATCTGCGATATCAATTATCAAACATTGTTAAAAAGGTTTCGCACACCGAATCACATCAGTTTTGCCTATACCAGTGGGTTAACGAGGGTAATAAAAGTGCCAATGTTTCACCTACTGGTTTTTTCCTCGTAGACTTCTGTGATTACATTTTTACATGATTCTGATGCACCTTAACCACAGAAGCTATGATGGAACGGAGGTCCCTTATATCCTCAGCCTCGTCCCTACTATGTATATTAGATTAGCATGTGTTACCAATGGATTTATAATAGTTAACCTTCATAGTTTGGCTGGATAGTCTATAGACACTACAGAGTATTTGAGGGAATTTTCGAGTTAAAAAAATGTTCTTTGAGTTGAATTGAGGCCTGTTTTCGGAAAAAATCTCATATTCTTCATAATACCACCATATTCCTCATATAACCTCATATTCATATCGAGATAGAGAAGAGTCATAGCCACATTTGGGTAAAAAGAGAAAGTTTTCATCTCTCTTGAACTAGTAGTAATTACCATTTTACAGAAAAGAAATAAAACGCATATATCTCACCAGTCATGCAATCAATTCTTACGCCTTTGCTTGCTGAATGATAAATATTCAATGAAATATAATCACACAAAATTAGAAGTCACTAGTTATCATGATTCTTCAGCTACGGGCCGGGCCACTAATTTTGTAGAGTACTGTAAATGGAATAGAGAAAAATGTTTTGATCTGTTTTCGATCGCATAACTGCTTCTCAAAATTAACTATACACTAATAAATTTTAAAGAAAAATGATATCTACAGCACAAAACATCGAAAAAATTTGGAAAAATGTAATTTTTTCTTCGACTTTTAGGTTACGTCTTTTTTCTTCTCCATTTATTCTTCCACTTTTTTCACTGTGTACCGAACTAGTTTTTCTAAAGACTTATTCTCCTTTGCATAGGCCACCAAACGAATTTTTGATATTCTTTACACACTTTGTGTAGCTTCTTACCCTAAAAAATTTGAGATTTTTGTAACGGTGTTTGATTGCTTAATGCTGGAGGCTTAATTAATTTTTTTCTTTCTTTTTAATTTCTACTAGTTGCAAAAATTTTACTGTAATATGGCTGTCACTAACTATGACTGAACTTACGAACACATTTATAGGAAACAGACAGAGAGTAAAATTATTTAACTATGG